GGGAGAGAAGCTGGCCTTATTGTCGTACATTTACCCACTTGAAACTCCTGACCTGCTCTGAGATGATAGAGATGAACATTTTCTTTTTGTTTTACCTTACTTTAACCTGAAAGAGTTGCTCAAATATTCAGATTATTGCCAGGGTTATCAGCTTCCTCATATAACTTTAGCTATCCCTTTAATATCTCTGGTTCTGTAAAGCCTCTGAACATTCGTCATGTTAAATTTTGGGGATTTTTGCATTGCTGCGATGAATTTATTATGATTTGTCAGGTATTTAAATCTGCAGATTAGCCCAGTGGTTTTCAGACTAGGGTCTGGGATCAACAGGGGTCTGTGAATAGTTTGCAGAGAGTCCCGAGCAGACGGGGGACTAGAGTTTTTTTTAAAGTTTAAGTTGTAAACCACAAGGGAAAAAGACTGGTTGGGAGGGTTTTTTATTGTAATTTATAGTGATCCAAGATTTATCATTGACTGGCTATGGAGACTTTATAATTTTGAAACCTAAAAATAAAAACAATTACCAAGAGGGAATCCTATGCATCTGTTGTGGGGTTGAACCCCTTGATTAGCCACTCTGTGTCAATCAGCTAATTGTTTCAGCACTATTATCCACTCCGGCCTCCGCCCTGTGTTTCACTAACTATAGCAGCCAGCAGTAAGGAGGCCAAGGTTCAGAGCTCCTGCAGCTTTTAAAAGGATTGTGTAAGAGAGAAGTGCTGGGGAGAGAAATGAAATGAGTTAAAGAGGAATAAAGATTTTGTTCATATTTTCTGTACTTTGTTTCCCCCCACGCCTCATTAGAGCAAGTGGAAGAGGAGGATTTGGGAGAGAAGGTACAATTCATTGGGGAGAGGGTGACTTATTGATGAGGAGAGTTCTTCTCTTTGCTTCCTCAGCTCAGAGACTTAGAGAGAGAGAGAAAGAGAGAGAAGTTGGTGACTGAAAGCAAATTAGAAGTAGGAGAAAGCAGACAGACTGACCTTTTTACAAGTTGTATTTTATCTGGGGAAAGTGAGCATGATTGCACTTATTCATATCGTCTCACACTTCCACACAGCTGCCCAGCAGGGACACGGATAAATATTGTTGGCCACTGGAGCTGTTGGTGGTGCAGTGTCTTGCTCAAGGGCATCTCAGCAGTTAATATATAAAGAGGTGGGAGTTTGTCTTTTTTTATTATGCCTGTGGCATTTTCTGGTTTCTCTCAGTGACAGAAACTGGATCGTATTAGCTGGCAGTGTGCTGTGCTTCTCGAGAGCAGCTGAATTGGATGTTTGCAGAGCTACAGTATTTCCCTGTGCTCTTCCAGTGCTAACTTAATGGCCTCCTCTTCATATAGCTAAATAAGAATGCAAAAGGAATGCTCATTGCATTTTTCAGAAAAGGAATTATGTGGGTTTGGCTCGGTGCTTGATTGTGTGGTCTCAGTGTTTGATTGGACTATAAAGAAGGAAAGTCAATGAGTAGAGCGAGTACAGAAAATTTAAGCTGCCATTTCAGGTTTCATTTCTTCTTCACTGGCACTTTTCTTCTTTTCTTCTCTCTGCTTTTTTTTATCTTCCTCACCGGTGAATCGTTACCTTCATTTTATCTCTCTCTCCTCCACAGTCTGCTGCGCTCCTGAGGAGCCTGCTGCTCTCTTCAGGCATTTCCCCCCCTCTGTTCGCTATTTTCCCACAACTCCATCCCTGCTCCCGGGTAAGCTGTGGGCCTCGCTCAGCCTCAGGGCAGACAGACTGACTCAAGAGCTTTTTTACACACCAGCGACCATTAGAGGCTCTGTAGGAAAAGGTGAGTGCTTCTTTACAAAAAATGAATGGGTGTGTTTATACAGCCCAGGGTGTACTGAAATGAATCGGTGCTCTGTGAGCTGGCGGCTGGGAACATTAGAAAGTTTCTGTCAGGCAGGGAAAAAATAGATGCAGGTACATAAGATTACATACATACTATTTCCCCACCCACATTGGTTGATTTTAAATATCTCTTTCTTAATTCTGGTGTGTCAAACTGGGTATATTTACTTACTGACTTACTAAATCCCAATTCCACCATTAGCTGTAAGCAGTAGTATACACTTATATCAGTATTCATACCAATATGCATGTCTGTGTTGTGTAAAGATGGTGTTAATGTATTCATTTGTCGGTTTATTACACTGGTGTCACTGTCGCTGATAGTGTGTGTGTGCGCTATAATTGTCTGTAATTGGCAGCTGTGTTTATGCCACTGGTTTCCTGTTCCCTCTGTGTGCTTTGTGTTAACAGTTGACTTGTGTGCTTTGTGTTTGATTTGCCGTTAAAATTGGCCTCCTATCTTTTGAAAAACTGGATTTCCACATACCTAAAAGCTGCTCCATGCAAATTCAGTCCTTACAAGGGTTACGTACCAATCCCGTTAACTGACCCTCAGTTATTGTGTCTAGAACAGAGTATTTACAACTGTTGAGAAGGAAAGATTGGCATTTGGCACCAAATGATTAATACGTTTCTCTGGGTTGTTACTGATTATTTAATATTAATTTAAGTCATAATTGTATATATGTTTATAATACGTTATACTGCAATATCATTAAAAAGCTATATGTGTTGGAATGGGTTTGAATTTTTTTTTTTATGTTTACATTCAACAATAATTTTTTTGACAAGAATTATAAAAACTATATTTGTCATGTTGCTGAGCAGAGATCATGTCACTGTTAATTTCCAACACAAAGAAAAACATGTTATTATTTAATTAAAACAGTGTTAAAACCCTCAATGTCTGCATGTGGGAATTTCACCTTTATCTTCTTTTAGGAGTCCACAGTTAGTTTGTGTTTGTTTATTTAAAACATTTATTTGCCCTTGATCTTGTCTTGTTTCCCTTCCATTTCCTACATTTAGAGCTAATTTGTGACAACAATCTGCCATTTAGAGCCAACAATAAGTAGTTCCGAGAGCAATTTGTTTTGAAAGTATTTCTCTTATTCTCGTCTCCACCCGCAGATTAAAATCCTCCAGCCAGTGAAGAAGCCATGCTTATCTGGTCCCCTCATGGCCATGCCACTATGACCATCACCCTCCTCCGGTCCCAGCTGATGTTCGTTCTGGCCCTGACTGCGCTTCTCTGCCCCTTGGGCCGAGTGACTGGTCAGGGGGAGAGTGAGACACAGTCCCCTGCCCAGGTGCTCCAGGACCTGCTGGCCCGCCATGGAGACAACAGCACCATCACGGTGCCCCAGCTGCGCGCTCTGCTGGTGCTCCTCAGCCGGAGGAGCACTGAAGGTGACAGTGACGGCAGCATTGTGGCAGAGACGCCTATAACTGCTCCGCCCAAATCCAACAGCTCCAAAGTGAGAACAAAAACATTCTCCTCTCTTATCTTTTCGCTTTGAGTTGATACGGTTCTTCGGTGTTGTTGGTAGAACAGGTGCAGATTGAATCTCTGCAGAATAGTGTATATTTGACAGTAAAGTTGATTCTGTTCTGTTCTATTAAAGTCTTTTTTAATTTTTTTACTGTGCTACATGTTGTCTTCACAATCAACCATCTCTACCAGTAACAGAATTATGTAGGTGTGGTCTTGTGGCCTCCATGTGGTATCTCCTAAGCCATCATGTGTGTTCACATTTTTTGAGGAGGTGCACACACAGGTCTGGCAGAGCCTCAGAAGTGTAAATCCGGCTTTATTCCTGTCTGGAAGAAGCAGGAGCAACCGGTGCCACATAGCTGAAATATTTAGCATATTTCCCATGCTTAGTGTCGTGGATGATTGACTCACTTGCTGATCTGCTTTTGAATATATTCTCCGAGAGTAACAGTGGCGAAGTTATAAATACACAGGTTCAGGTCATACACAAGTTCAGAAGTTGGATGTTGGACACGCCGCATTGTGGGTTGTTTGTTAGAACCACGTACCTCTGTTCAGTAACGTGTTTGGTCACGTGTCACCTGCCTGTCGTTAAATACCTTTCACTGTTCGACACTGAACGCGTTGCATTCAAAACTTGGCTGCCACAAAGGAAAGAATGATTGGTTGTTTGTGCTGAATAGAATATTGAATGTTTTTCCTGCTGTTGTGATGGATTCAAAGTGATTCATACACTTTAATTATGTGGTGAGTCACTATCAAAAAGCCTCACTTCTGTTCGATTCAGCTTCACTTTTTGTCCTTGCAGATTAAATTCCAACTGGCTTCTGTGTCCTAATATGATATGAAATTATATATTTATCTAGGTACACTTGTGAAATTTGATGCCTGAGATAGATGGATTTCATAAGCTGACAGCTACTGTATTTCTCCTATTTGCCTTTTCAGGCATCTCCTCCATCTGTATTTGTCCAGTCTTCATTGTAATTCAACTTTTTAACACCAGATGATTACCAGTTTTGTTAAAATCTTAAGCAGTCTTACCTACTACTTATGATATGTTATTTCTAATTGTAGGGTTATTAAAATAAGAAATTTCAAATTTTATTAGTATGAAGTATATAGAATTGATGGAAATGGCTTAGATCTTAATCATTGGATTCACACATACCTAAGGGCCAAGGTAATGTGTTCACATGCTGTTTGATTGGTTTGTCCACATTACATTACAGAACATTGGCACAAATGAAACTCCAAACTTCATTTTGTCAGGATCTTGCTCATGTCTGTATTTTTAAAGCTAAATCACTATAAAATGTGACCCTGCCCTTTACATGCTTAGTTAAAATTGATAGCACCCGGACCTGGCATCCTGTCTAATTCATTTGTTTCAGGTAGAATGGTAACCTCTTTTGGCCAACTAACTGACAGGTATCATCTCTTTTCCAGTGCTTGCCTACGGACACGCTGGCTATTTACAGCATCAACGAGCAGTCACGGCTAGATGGACAGCGCTTACAGGAGCTGTGCCCCACCATGCTGCAGCAATTGGATGCTGGCACCTGCAGGGCGCAAAATAAGGAGGAGCTGAGCAGTGACGCCTCCCCCCGGCCCACAGACGCTGAAGGTGAGCACTGAGTTGTTACTCAATGATTTAATGTTTGCTATTTGTCAAGGTAAATTTCCTGTAATCAACATCAGGTTACATTCTATGGTAATTTTAAAGGATTAAGTCTGGTGATATTCAAATTGGTCTACTAATAAGAATAACTAAAACTAATAAGAATAAAGCACTGTATACTAAAGAAGTGAAGAATTTGTTCCTCTATATGTCAGTTTTCTGTTCCTACAAACTTAATAGTGCTTATTTCAAAAAAGTTATAAAAGGCTGAACAGAGAATTAGTTGACAATAGCAAAAATATAGAATATTGCCAGCCTTATCCTTTAACTGTATCTAGATATTGTATGTATTGTATTGTATGAATAGTGAGAGGTTTGTACTACTTTTTAAAAACCATGATGGCTTTTTGTTTTCTGTTGGTCAAACTTGTGCTGGCTGTTGGCTGTTTAAGTTCATAGTTTTACAGCTTTTTCTTCTGTCCATTGTACATTTTTAACTACTTTGCTCCTTCCAGAGTGAGTACATCATCATCATATCTGTCAATGACTGACTCTGTTACAAGTTTTTCCCTGTAACATATCATTTTTTACAACCTGATTTTCAGTTACAATCATTACCAATGAAAACCTCATACAAAGAGACCTCAAACACATTTCTTCATCAGATTTGAGCTCCAAGTGTGTTTTGTTGCCTAGAGATAGTGATATCACGATGTCCCCAAAGGAGATAGAAGCCAAAATAAGCATGCACAGTTAGCCAAGGCTCAAATTGCATTTCTCAGTTTGGCTTAAAAACCCACACGTCCTTTAGGCTCCACAAATCTGCCACAGTCAGCATATCTGTTATGTAGCAGAGATCTCATCCAGGTAAAGTTAGACGGAGAAGCATCCTACAAACTGCCTTTCTTTTATTGGCTGCTGACCCACTGTAACTCCATACAGACTGCAGACTGTACACACCCACTAGGATGTCCTTGAGAGTCCTGGAAGCCATATTGGCATCTGCATCCAATCTGAAGTTCTCGGAAACTGGAGCACAACATTGGCTGTTGATTAAAAAGCTTTTGAGTTGTTGTTGAATGGAGGCTAAATGGGCTTTAGAGTATGTAGCTGGTATAAAAAGCTTGCTAATGACAGACTTGGAGAGCTTGGTCAACGTGTGATGTTGTGCCCTAAAGGCTGCAGCAGACCTTATGTTTAAAAGCAGCAACGCTTCAGGAATGTTTATAGTACTGCATTAGTGTGCACTAAAATAAAAATAACAGCTTTCATGATGAATGTGATGACTGTTTGCATCAATGGCTTTATATTCTTTTTTAAATAAGCATTACATTGTGCTGTAGCTTTGCTGAGCCAGCTCACAAATTTCATTTCTTACATTTAACCCAGTTTAACTCCTCCTCAGCAGGTAGAGGAGAAATGCTTTAGTAGCCTAGTTCTCTGGCTCTGTCGCTCATTTTCCACTGACAAATTTGTTTTCCCTTATCATCCACTCATATGCCCCAGCTCACCTCACACTTGTCCTTGTAGGCAGCTTATTTTGGCTTGAGTGCTGTTTTTCTTTGCCTAGGCTGTGGAGATCAGCCAGCTGCGGGGAAGCAGATGCCATGGAAATTCATCTCTTGTATATACTGATAATTTCTCATTATCTAAATGTGATACTTTTTCAGCTTTTATCAGAGATCAAATAACTTGCATTACATTAACATACCCCTCCCCCAACAGTGCCTTTTTTTTCTTTTTTACCAGTTTTAAAATAGTTATAGCTGATTTAGTTGTATCTTCTCTTAAGTCTACTACTTGTGCCCTTGATGCCCTACCAAAACTACTACTAATACTACTGCTACCACTATAACTAATAATAATCCATTTATTTATATACCACTTTTAAAAAATAAAGTAATTTACAAGGCAGTGAATTCAAGATAAATGAAGCAAAAATAAAAAAGAATCTACATCGTAAGGAGAAGTCTGCCTCTGCCTTCACCACAAGCTCCCATGATCTACTTTCTGTTCACTTTCTCAGTGGGGAAAAGTTATCTGGCACCACAGATCAGAATGTTTAACTTTTCTTACCCGTAAACTTCTGATGTGCACTAACCTTATTTCTTTTCTACAGGTGTCAGTTAAGGCAGTGGTTCCCAACCTTTTTGACTCGAGATTTTTAAAACCAATGTCTTCATGAAAACAAGTTGCATATGTCTGAGTTGTGAGCATTTTAACCAAAAAGTGTTTTCCCTTTTCTCAATGCTTTCATTGGAATTGTAGTTGGGCTAGAAGAAGTGAAACTATCTAGTATTTCACAATAGAAAAGTAATATCATTAATTTATGTAGCAGAACAGTAATTTTTTTATAGTTTGCATTTATTTGATAACAACAGGATTCTATTGAAATAAAAAGGCTGATTCATGATGCATTGCTCGTGCTGCATTACCACACATTATGTATGACAGATGGTTTTAATCTCACACCTTCCTCTTCCGTCCAACCTTCTTTTCACTCAAACCACCAGTGTGGGGCTTTTCTTTCCTGAGTGTGACAGTGATCAATGCCTTCTCACTCACCGGAGTCTTCATCGTGCCTCTCATGAAGACGCGCTATATGAAGTATGCGCTCACCTTTTTCATCGCTCTTGCCATTGGCACACTGTTCTCCACTGCCATCCTGCAGCTCCTGCCAGAGGTTTGCCATTCACCCATACATCTTTCTGTCTTTTCACATCCCAAAACTTTTTTTGCTTTTTAAAAAACACAAACGCCAAAGGCTCTTTAGTTTCACTGTAGTGTCACATGGCTGTGTATGAAATTAGTGCACCTTTGCCCAAGCGCTCTTTTGTCTGTCCTGTGGTCATATCTGTTTCATCTGCTTCCTGCCTTTGTTTTCTTACTATGGTTTTCTCGGGCTCTAACAAGTACTGTGTAAGACTCTTTTAGTTTTGCTTTGCCTTCACTGTGGGGTGTTTTATATTTGTGTGCACTGTCTGTTTGTGTGCCTGTACTTTCCCTGGCATTGAGATGTAGGCCAGCTATGGGGTTTTTCTCAGAGAGATGGTTGAGCTCTCTTTTCTATCACTGCAGCATGTAGAACAGCTAAACAGACTCTTATAACAGTGTTTTGTTTAGTTTTTTGGCTTTGGGATTCATACATTTTAGTTTGTGTGAGACAGTCCTGGAGAAATGGAGCACAGAACCCTTAAAGCGTCCTTCAAATTGAAATGTGACCCCTCATTAGCAGTGCTCCTTCTGCTACTGTTGGGCTATTTAAAGTTTGTTTGCCCCCTTTTGTGTCTGCAGTGATAGCTAGTGTGTACCCTGAGGCTAGGACAGTGGTCCAGATGCACCTGAGTGGACTAGGACAAAGTGTGTGTGCGTGCGTGCGTGCATGTGTGTGACTGTGCACAAGGTTTCAGTAAACTGTAATTTTGCTTTAATCACTTCCCTTCTCTATCAAAAGAAATGCATGGGGTTTAAGGGACTGCTTCAAGGAACACACTGTTGGCTTCACATGCAAATGAAAGGTGGTGTCACTTCTGTTGATCTGTTTTCAATGAACAAATGAGCCTGTTGTCTTTGGAAAGACTTGCAGGTATCTCTGAAATCTCCTTATTTCTTCAGGTTTATTTCATTCAATTCTGCCTTTCTTTTCAGGGAGTTAACTGGTTGGTGTTCTCAATTTTTTTTTGTTCCTTACCCTGGTGATTAATCTGATAAAATCCGTTCTCAACTAACTACCTCTCTTTTTTTCTCACCTACCCCCTTCTTTCGTCTACCTCCTCTCCGTTGATCAGTGTGGGGTTATGGGATCCTGTGTGTGACACTGATCTCTCTGTGTTCGCTGGTCGGGGCCAGCGTGGTCCCCTTCATGAAGAAAACCTTTTACAAGCGACTGCTGCTCTACTTCATAGCCCTGGCCATTGGCACCCTCTACTCCAACGCCCTGTTTCAGCTCATCCCAGAGGTAGTGTCGATGCTGCTGTGACTCACTTAGCTGCAGCTCCTTCACAGAGCCTCAGTGCAGATTTGAAAGCGCATTGAATACCAACAGCAAAACTTAACATTATAACCTTCATGAAAGAAGGACTTATTGCAGGGCTTTTGTATCAGACTGCATTAGTTTTAGCTCACTGCACCTAATAAACTTTAGAAGAAAACTGTAACAAAAATCAATTGAGAAACTGTTAATAGATAAAATAACTAGATGAGAATCAGTTAACTAAATACCTGACGAATCAAAGTAGGATCAGAACGATTGGTGGATTTAAAAACTACATATTTGGGAACTGGGATAGTTTCCCTTTTAGAAACACTCCAGCAGCATAACAGTCAGTAGACAAATCATCATATCACCCAATCCTACCACTCATAGGATTTCTTCAACTAAACAATTGGTTAATCCCCTCAGTGAATCAATTAATGCCGTAATGCAAAAGCTGGCATATTTTAAGTGTATTGGTCGCATACTGTATGAGGCTGCCGACTACTACTACTTTTTGTGTCTGAAATCTTTGTATACCCTAACTGTTAGAAACCCGATTAAAAATAAATAATGGCCATGTAGCCCAAATGAAATGAAATGTACCTCTTTAATCAATTCAGGTTTCTCATTTACATGAAGTTTAACAAGTGGGGGTAACTGAAGGAAGCTTAGGTACATATCAACACACTGAAGTTAGAGTGCCATAACCCACAAATAAGAGCAATTGTCGTTTGAAATGCTATCTAGACGGTTTACACACCCATCTCGGCCACGCTGTTGTGTAATTTATTGCATCAATTCACCTGGGATGAATAGTAAAAAAAAAAACACATTTGTACACCTCAAAGCTTAAGTGGTTTGATTTATGGGAAGTTTGTGTCTGCTGAAGGGGAGAAGATTACATACATAATTCAACCTGTCTCTCGGGTTAGAGGCTGCTTTGACATATCTTTGCAACATCTTAAAAGGATGTCAGCTCTAGTTGATGTTATTGTTAACGATGGACAAAAGTTAAACCAGCCAAAGACATTCAGCAGGGTGAAGTTTTCCACAAAGATAAAAGCAGTTGACCCTGACAGCGAATATAAACATGGGGAAAATGTTTTTTTACTTTTTGCCAGAAATGAAACTTCACTCTTGTTTTGAGACAGCTGACTACACAGCCTAGATCCACACATCCGGTTCAAAACAAGCAATTCACCGACTACAAGTTTTGTAGTCGGTGAATTGCTTGCAAAAGACCTGGTTAAACATGTGGCAGTTCTTTCAGACAATACCTCATTTTAAAAATATGCACATTAAGCAACGTCAGGCAGTAATGTTGTAATAGCAGCCACTATAAATATTCATCAGAAGCTAACACCATCTTCTTTCCCCTGTGGTAGGCCTTTGGTTTTGACCCCATGGTGGATTTCTACGTGTCCAAGTCTGCAGTGGTGTTTGGAGGCTTTTACCTCTTCTTCTTTACTGAAAAGGTCCTCAGAGTGCTTCTCAAACAGAAAAACGGGGTGAGTACATAGCAAGAAAGATGTGAAATTCCCCTTATATTGTTTTATTGTTTTATTGTTAAAGCAGGAGGAAATGACACCAAAATGTTTGATACAGACTCTCTCTAGTGATTGGGGTTGGCGCAGTGGTATTAAGGTCCCGCCCATACACCCAGCCAACTCAGTCGCAAGCAGGACTCAGCTGTCAATCATGATGTGAAACTCTCTTTTTAAAATTTAAATAATAATCAAATAACTAATTAAAACCTAACTTATCAGAAAAAATAGCACTTAATATATGATAGATAGAACATAATATATGAGTGTGATTTAAAAACTACCTAAAATGCCAGAAACCATCTTTAGGAAAAATGTATTTGACATTAACTTTTAGGTTAGCCCATGACTGATATCTGATAACATGAAGCCAGCAGACTTTATGACTTATACTGCAGTCAGCCACTAGAAGGCAATAGAGATGTTTTGAGAGCTGTTATGTCATCCATCTTGATGGATCTATATGTCGATGCTTGGCACAGTTTAAACAAGTGTAGCACTGAATCAATATCGCTGTAGTAGTCTCAACAAAACTGTACTTTGTGAGCCTCACAGAGCTGTTATTTAAGGCAGCAGCTTGTATCCAAGGTAGGCACACAAAGACACAACCTAGTATGACGAGCAGAAAACCACAACTCCAAAGCAAAGGAGAAACTAAGATGGTCTCTTGAGTTCTCCAGTTATTTTTACGAAATCAAGAATAGTTTGGATGAAATCACTCAACTCACAAGTTTGACAGATCATAGAAGAGTCTGGCAATACAAGACTGTTTTAATTGGATCTTGAAAACATGAATGTACACAAGATTCCCACAGAAAATAAACAAAGGGGTGTTTATTGAAATGAACAGTTTGAAACTAAAAACTGATAATGCCATCACAACATGATTCAACTCAAAATGGATTAATGATAATACTGAATTATCACCCAACCGTAATTCTCTTATGTTTCCATAATCACTTATGATAATGATATACATTAAACTTGCTTAAGACATTTAATCAAAAAATCCTTGAACCTTAATAAATGACGCATTCCAAGTTGGACTTGTAGTGATCTTTTCTTTTATTCATTTGTCCTCTAATATTTCTTCAAGTTAACAAACTGAACCATGTTGTTACAATGTTGTCAGGCAGCTGAATGTTTTATTACATTATTTGTTCTGTGGTCCATCATAACGTACAATTAAATTGTTCCTGCTTATGTGTGCATCAGTGGCAGGTATAACCAGTTGTATGAGAGGGTTGGGCCAGAGTCAGTGCTGACGTTCACTGTACTCCCCCCACTAGTTGCCACAGTGGAGATATCTGGCTTTGAAGAATCATTCATCATTTGGGTTTTGTACACTTGACCCATGGCCTGTGTAATCACTAATGGATTAATATTACAAAGTTTATATGTAAAGAATACTGACACTGAAAACACACGAGTGTGCAAATATAATATGCTGTGGTTAATTTATCAGGTAAATATATTACATTAACAGGTTCCAGCTTCTCAAGTATCGTTGTTATTTGAATATTTGTTATTTGAATAGTTTGTGCTCCTGATGGACTGTGAATTGTTCAGGTGTGAATTGTTTTTGGCTCTTGGCCACTTGGCAACTTTGACTTCTTGCCTGATTGCCAAAGCACAGTAGGAGTGTATATGGCTGTTGATATCATTCTCAGAAAGCATCAGGACATGCAGGTGGGTCATTGCGGGCCAGTTCCTCCACCTTGTGGTTACTGAGCTTTGAGCCATATGGTCCATCCAACCTAATTAACAACTATTTATATTTATTATTTATATATCTAATTAACACATCACCCTGCTGATCCAATTACAAATACTTTTTGACCTAAATTGGCACCTAGATTTTCCTTTCACTGCAAAAAAAAAAGGAGGAAAAACCCAGGAATGTAATTTTGTTCAGTGGAATGGTCACTGCTCTGACCCTTACCTGTGATAAGACAGTGACCATAAAGGCCTTGAAAACTTTAATGAAATGGCACACAGAATCTCCTGGGTTTTTATTTGTATTTGAAGAGCTCAACCACAGAGTGAACGCTGCCTGAGAGGCTCTGTAAAATCCCAGAGAAAAGAAATTGTGACCAGAAATGTCATGTCACCTGCGCTCTGTGGTTTTGATTGAACCATTTTATGAAATAGTGCTGCTACAACGACAATGTTAATGCAGAAGTATCGTTTTGATAATTCAAGCCTTTCTGGATAATACAGCCGTTGATCGGATTAACATTAAATCATATCAATATAGCTTTTTAAGCTGTCAACAAAAATGAAAACAACTATGAGTTACTGACACATTCCCAAGAGGAAACTGTTGCATAGGACGCTAAACTGGGACAAAAGCAGCACAGAACATTGTGAGGAAGGTTCAAGGAAACGCTATGTTCAGATTAATAATTGCCACTATTTTCTTCTTTCATTAATTTACCGAAGTTCAAGGTTCTTTCATTTGACAGGAAGGAAATTTCCCCCAGCAATGTATGTGTCAAAATCTGTTATTTATTGATCGTGATATCTGTTTTCTCTCTGTCTCTCAGAGCCACGGTCACAGTCATTACCCTGGTGCAGATCGTTACTCGACACCCGACGGGGATGTGGAGGAGGGGGAGAAGGAGAAGCTGCAGCAGAATGGAGAAGCCAGCAGTCTGGCTCTGGGCAAGGTGGACACAGGGGAGGGTGAGCTCATGCTCAGTCCTGCACAGACACCACAGGTAAGGTTGGGGGCAGAGAATGGAGGAGAAGACTTTGATTCATTCAGTTGTGGAAGAATTGTACTGCATGTCTGCATTTTTATGTTACTAAAGTAGTAGATTTTCATTACTGAGAATGAGTTCATAAATTCAGTATCGCAAAGGAACAAATGGAGGGTTATTACATAAATTAATACTGGAGAAGATTAACTTAAAAAGTGGGTCATCCATAGAAGTGGACCCAAAAAGTGTAGCTGTACTTGCATAATTATTAAAGAAAACATCTGCCTATTCAAAGGTGAACAAGGTTGGGAACAAGGTTTGAGACGCCTCAAAGGGTTGCAAGATGATTAATTGGACAGGGTTAGGGTTAGGGGGGCAAAAAAATGTTGTTTTATACTTCTTCAGGCCTCTAACAGTTATTCAGTTGCACAAACTTCTCTCATTTTATAGACTTATTCAATCTGTGACCAGGGATCGGCAGAAGTGTTAGGAACAACTTTAATAGGCAATTCATCCAAAAGTGATATAAAATACATTAAAATTCTGTGTGTAGCCTAATTATCATCTGAATTTGAACGCTTCCTTGTTCATGATGTGCTATTTGCATATTTCTGCTCTGTCCACACATATTAACCTGTAATCTTGTGTCGCTCTGTTTATCCCAGGATTCTCAGAGTCCAGACAGCGGGGGGCGGTCCGGTGGCGGTGGCTGCTATTGGCTGAAAGGGACGTCCTACTCTGACATCGGCACACTTGCCTGGATGATCACTTTGAGCGATGGTCTGCACAACTTTATCGACGGCTTGGCCATTGGCGCCTCGTTCACCGCCTCCGTCTTCCAGGGTATCAGCACCTCCGTGGCCATCCTGTGTGAGGAGTTCCCCCACGAGCTTGGTGAGTCGGGACGGGATTTGAGCCAGCAGATGTTTCTGATGCCACGTTGCTGCCTTGAACCTCTACCAGGCTGCAAGTCTCAAGCATGGTGTCCACGGGGTCTTAAAAAGTCTATAATCCAATAATAATGAATTTCAGCAGGTCTTAAAAATGTACTGGATTAATGAAGACATTACTTAAATAAAGGGGCATTTTTCAGTCTAGCTTTTAAATGTTTGTTCGTTTTTTTGGGACAAATTTGGATTGATCCTACTGTGACAAAATGAAACCGACATGGAACCAATACTGACTGTGACCTTAATGTCCTGTGTACTTATTCTGCCAGTATGGGTGTGAAATCGGTCTTAAATTGGTCATAAAAAAGGTCTTACAAAGACTTACGTTGAACCTTTCGAAACCTGCAGAAACCCTGTGAAGTAAATCTTCTTATTCGTTCAAGTGATTTTCATTGTGTGTTTAGTATAAGAAATTGGTCTTCTTCTCTTCTTGAAACATCTTTCCCAGGCAGAAATCTGCAGTTTAACATAGATTTGCGCAGACAGCTCTTTAATACATTGTCTTCTCTCTATGTCGCTCTCCCTCTCTTTCTGTTACCAGGAGACTTTGTGATCCTGCTGAATGCTGGAATGAGCATACAGCAAGCTCTGTTCTTTAACTTCCTCTCAGCTTGTTGCTGTTACCTGGGCATGGGCTTTGGCATCCTGGCTGGCAACAGCTTCTCCCCCAACTGGATCTTTGCCCTGGCAGGGGGAATGTTCCTCTACATTGCTCTGGCAGACATGGTCAGTGTTTGTTGTGTTTTAAGGGTGGATGTTCTCTTGATCGGAGAGAAAAAGATCTATTTATATAAGATTATTAAGATTATTATAATAAACAGTGTTCTGTTTTATGCTTCTCAGTTTCCAGAGATGAATGAGGTGAGTCGTGAGGAAGAGGATGCGGGCGGCAGCAGCTTCCTCCTCACCTTTGCCATCCAGAACGCTGGCCTGCTGACCGGCTTCGCCATCATGCTCCTCCTCACCACCTACTCTGGACAGATACAGCTGGGCTAGCACTGGACTCCTCTGGACCAACACCAGCTCTGACCAGTACGAAATGAAACTGAGATGTCAGCTGGTGTAAAATGAACCCAAGAGGAGTTTTTTTTCCTTTTTATCTTCCTCCCATTGTTGACCCTGGAGTTTGGGGAGTTTGGCTGCTGTGCGGCAGGTACGCACACTTCTCTGTCAAAAATATCTAAGTAGCCGTTCGTGCGCAGTTCCCAGATGCAGTAGATCCCAAGCGGAGGGGATAGCAGCCTTTTTTTTTTTTCATTTTTGGTCAACCTTTTCCTGACAGCTGCTCCCTCTAACAGTCTCGAAATATCAGCTGAAGCAGCGTTCAGCCCGCAAAGGCAAGTTAAAGAAGTCCAGCTCCCTTGCTGTACGCAAACTGACGTGCAATACTCACCCAGTCACTCAAACCTTTCTCCAGACTACTGATCAGCCATTTTGGCTCCTGCTCTTATTTTTCTCCCCTTATTCTTCCCTCAGTGGATGTCATTGAGCCTCAACTGCTGAGATTGAGTAGATACAGAGTATTTATATCACTAATCCTCTATGCCCCAAACACTTCCTCAGGAGGTGGGAAAAGCACAATCAGGTAACAGCAACTGTATATTTTACATCCTTGAGTCTTTATCCTCCCAGACTTTAACAGTCCCCCTCCCCTCCCCTTTTTTCATTCCATACCAAAAACAAATCGGACCTTAACTGGAATTTGAAGTGTCAATATCCAACTGACTTCCAGCTGGACTTTGTCGTTTGTGTGTTGATGTTATATTTTTTATACATGATAAACAGGAAAAATGATCAGACTTTTGAAGACCAAATATGGCCCGACCATTGAGAACGGTGAAGGGCTACACGGTGGCGTTTGGAAGGGCACACTTTTATTCTCCTCAGTATGGACTCTTCGTCTACATTCTCGGTATGCAGTTAGAAATTCCTAATGAAGCCTGAGTCAGATATGTAGTGACAAAGTCCAGATTTTGATATAAGTGGCTTTATCCAGATCAGACGCAACAACACTCAGCGTCCATAGCAGCATCTCTCCACATAGTTTACCATCTGTGCCCCTTATTAATATAGCATTGAATAGTTTTTTTATTCCTTGTATTCTTGAACTCAAAGTGCAAATCTGTGGTCTTCACACATCCCATAGACTATTTTTCCCAGAATGATCTATTCTTTTACTGTACAGTTTTAACAGAATACTGTAAGCTGAATCATATAAACATGCACACTTCGTCTACTGGTCTGTGACCATATCCATATTAATAACATGTAATAATGATAGACAATTAAGTAAGTTATATACTGTATCTAGATTGAGTGTAATGACAAACACTCTCTGAATTACAGTATATGGTCAAAAGTATGTACACACACTGCTCACAATGCTTTTATGCCCATTGCTTTTCATGGTGGGGTTTGTTCCTCTTAAATATTACTATTTATTCACAGAGCTAAGCATATAGCATATAGCACCTTTGGAAGACCCAGAGGATCAATCAATAACATTTACAGCTGAAGGTATTTCCTAAATCCTTAAAGACTCTTCAAACCATCTGGATGAAAAAAAATACTGTCAGCTGCAAGATAAAAAAAGATTTCTAACCAGTTTCCAAGTTGCAACATAAAGCCAGGTTTTGGCTAAACCCCTTAGTTCCAAAGAACATTCTTTAAAGAGCAATTAGTGGATTAATCTTTAAAACAATGAAGCATCTGGTCAACATTTATTAAGCAAAATGGCAAAAAGTCCCTGCTTCCAGCCCTTCAAATGAAAATAATAGATGATAATATGATATGCATCAGACGATTAATTGACGAGTCAAGAAATAATCAATAATGAAAATAATTGTTACTTGCAGCCCTAGAAATCTTGCTTGTATCCTACAATATACAACACTATGTTGGACAATAGTGAACTTCCAACTTTAAGGCAACATTTTACAGTGTTTCCTGTTGCAACTTGCCCCTGTGCACAAAGCCAGCTCCATAAAGAAATGGTCTGTCCAGTTAGGTGTAGAAGAACTTGTGGCCACATCAGTGTTGGACCTCACTTATGTTCTTGTGGCATCTGGACACATCTGGTGGAAAGCCTGAAACCAGAATAGTGGAGGTTGTTATAGAAGCATATTATAGTCCGTGGTTTTGAAATAAGCCTTGGTGCGATGTTTGGGTGTCCACATACTTTTGGCCATGTAGTGTAATTAACAGTGAGAGGAACTGGTGAAAAACGGTTTATGATATGTAATGGTGATTTTTTTTTGGTGTGTTCAGGGGGCTATTTGTTTGTCATGTTGTAATGTGACAGGTTTTACTTCAACAAACTTAATAGCATTGTTAAGAATAACAACCATAGCGCCATCATCCTTTCTGCTACTGTGTACACTACAAGTTTGGTTGGGTCTCTGTTGATCCATATTTACTGATGTCTTACAGTGGTGTTAATTCCAGCAGTACACAGATTTCTCTCCATACAAAAATTCAAAATTCAACACAGGATAAGAGATCCATTACCAAAAGCTACACACTTTTCTGTACATCTTATATGAGCATTGAATAGAGCTGTACTATTATTTAGTAGAGATAGAAACTGGAAGCCGTGATTGGCCGTCACATTATGTTAGCCTACTATAAAAATACTTTTTTCTGTTATTCCTGAATGGAGAAGGCAAGCCATTAAAACGGGTACCATAAGGTACAGTATTACTGCTGCTTGATATGTATGATGATTATTTATTGTTGTTTGAGCCATAAAATATTTATTTGATGTTTTATACTCAAGATAAAGTATTCAGTTTAGCTTTACACCACAAGCCATGAAAGTAGACTAAAGTTCAGTCTTTTTGTTTGTTGTTGTATATCTTTGTTTTAGTATTTTACGTTGAACAAATAGGACAGCTACCAGAATACACAAAAAAAAACCTTATTGCATTTAACTGTATGCCAGACCATACACACACAGAATTTCTCATCAATTATGGTAATATAACATGGTGTTATGGTCAGACACAGACTAATGACTTCTGGAGCACACAGACAATATTATGACAGCTTTATTGGTGCAAAACACTCTTTTTCAATGTCATACAACCAAACAACAAACCAACCAATGATCAATTTGAATGATTTATCAAAGTGCGTTCAGATGTGTAATGCATAATTTTGAAAAATATTGTACCTAATGTAATTTATGGGAAATCCTCATCAGCCTTCTCTCTGTGTCATGGGAATCTTCTTTTTTTTTTTTATATAAACATCCTTTTCCAAGAAAATCATGTGTCAAGAGTCCTCATTAAGTGATTTTGACGTGGTTTATTCAACCAATTTAATGCAGATTTGATTCTATGTGTTTGTGAATGAACTGCTCTCCTCTGTTAAAAAAATGCTTCAATATTCAGGTATAATATTCTATATTCCTTTTGTGAGGCACTAACGTTTGCAGATTAGTTAGCCAAGATAGGAAAGGAAAGGATGTGCCTATTACTGGAGGTTTCAAGGACAACTTCTTACTCCTGGGAGAAAGTACTGTGACTTTTGTTTTGGCTCAGGATGGTTTCTCTGCACAGCAGGTGGATTCAGATCCAAAAGTCCAAAAATAATCAGATAGAAGATTCATTCTACTTTAACACTTTGCACATGTTCAATATCTCCTATATTGAAGTGTATTCTGTAGTCCCTTTATTGACCACAGACTAGCCATTTATTGCAGTTTCATTTTGATGGCACTCATCATACATTTCTTAATGTAGACCACTGACCATACCTGCTACAGTTACGTGACATATATTGCTGGATTCAGCACAGTCAGACCTTTCTAGCAAACCATGGTTGGTGTGTTTGGGACAATGCCAGCTGAAGCTAACTTATAAAAAAGAAAGTAAATTAATACATTCATCATAGGTGAATGTAGGTGCCTTCCTAATAGCCTGTTATTGTTCCTTCCTGTAACCACGCTTCCCACAGTCATTAAAGCTCTGGTACAGTTGTAGAAATTGAGAATTTGTGTTCTCAGACTAGAAATATCTCTGAAAACTACCACAATTCACTGTTCATTAATGAGTCAGCTTTTACAAGTTTGTAAAATATGAGGAATATATTGAAAAATCTTACTAAATTACCTTTAAAGTCAAAGGCTCTATATGCGAATGAACGAGCCTGCAGTTTGGTACTGGGGTAAATTGTTAGCGCTCAGGAACCAACGCATTTAAAAATGAAATGACATTTTACGATTATCACTGGATAATTTGAGCATTTAAAGGATTTTTTTTCTTTTTTTCCCAGTAAATATCGTCTGCTAATTGTAGAGTGGATCATTTCAGTTCCATTTCTAGGTATAAAATTCAGAATTTACAACAGACATCAGAAAAGTTGGATTTTACTACATAACACACTGGATCTAATGTGACCATCATCTGGGAATGGGCTGGATGCAATAAAATACCTTTTATGACAGACAAGCTCAAAGTCTGGACTTGTGCATTTCATATATTTCTTTTTTTTGTTGCAGTTAATGTCTTAACTAGATAGACTTTGAACCACACTTTACAGCAGTGGTGGAGTATAAGTACCATTACTCAAGTACTGTACTTAAGTAGGAATGTTGACATACTTTCATTTTATGTACAGTAAGTGTTTCCATTTTAGCTACTTTTACTTCTATATGCTGCTTATACTGTATAGTACTTTTTACACTATTTTATTTATTTGACCTTTATAATAACTAGTTACTTTTTACATTCAAAAAACTGTTTATTGATATGATGCAGTACTATGATGCTTTTACGTGCATTGTTAGTGATAGAAACAGGATAATATAATAATCTATTATTATATTATTATTATTATATTATGGCCTTATTAACAAGGCCCAGACCCCCCACTGTCACTGACTCTTATACCCACCCTGTATATATGCATTACATTAATGCACTCCTGTCTTCTGTACAGTTTTCCTATCTTTTCTTATCTTTCTTATCTTTATTTATCTATATATATATTTTTTTATTCTTGTGTGATTTTCGTGTGACTTGTATATTTTTGTGTGATTTATATATTTATCTTTTTATTTTTTTATTTTTTTGTGTGATTGTATATTCTAAGCACCATTGCACCAAGACAAATTCCTAGTATGTGTAAAAACCTACCTGGCAATAAATCTCATTCTGATTCTGATTGTGATTACTATGAAATGAGCCATTCTGCACAATGACTATTTTTGCTTTTAATACTTTATAAGTACATTTTCCGGAAACATTTTGAATTCAGGACTTTGACTGTGGTATTTCTACTTTTACTTCAGTAAAGAAATTGGGACTTCTTCCACCACTGGATTACAGTAATAGAGTAATACTGATGCTGCGCTCTGGTGCCCACAAGGTGGCGGTAAACATCGGCCATGTGTAGTTTTAATGCGCATGCGTCATGCAAAAAGAAAAACCCAAACATGTCACTTCCTGGCCCAGCGCAGGTGATTAGAAAACGTTTTGGAAACTGAAACTGTTGAAAGCCGTGACGATTTTGGCGAGATGGCTTGAGAAGAGTCACAGACAGACAGACACATAAAGAGGTGAGCAGATATATCAACTTGTTTCCTATAAGGTATAACTACAATTATTACCTACGAGTCACAAGAGGACGGCTATAAAGTCACCGGCTGGTTAGCCACGTTACATTAACGTTAGCCTCGCTCCATTCATTGATGTGCTGACAGTTGTGTTTACTTACACAAACATCGGACAGATTACGAGTTATTATTTTACCGGACTAACGTTACGTCGTTCTTCAGTCGGGCGTTAGCTGACAGTTAAACACATTGCGTTATAGCTATGGTAACGGTACTGTAACGTTAATGGTGAACAGGTTATTGTTAACTTTTCATTGTCAGTGGCTCCTTGTGATTAATTTGGCTGGTTAACGTTAACATGGCTAACTAACGTTACTCAGCTGAGGTTTCACTAGCGGGCTGGCTAACGTTAGCTAATGGTAGCTCCCTTTTGTAGTTTAGATACTAAAACGGATTATCTGTCAACAGGAGGTAAAGGATGATGATTCAGCCTGTTGATGTCCTCTAAATGTCACTATGTTACCGTTAGAAGTTAATTTATCACTGTTGATAAGACATTCATTCAAATGTTTACTATGTCTGGATTAAAAGTCCCCCACAAATCCAATTTATACAGATGTTTAACAGCTAACCGCAACACGTGTGCAATTCAACAGCTGTGCTTGAATAAGGTATTTCATAACGTTACATCATTAGATAGGTTACATATTGAGTTTGCTTTGTTCACCACCCTTATTAGACCTAAAACCAAGACAGTATGTGGCTTTGTGCACATTTCCTGCAAGTTAGATTCAGATTATAACAGTGCTTTACTGCACAGCATTAGTTTGGATTGGACAGTCTGTGGGATTGAAGTATTTTAGTATAAGCAAAAAATAATAAAGTAGTAAGTAGGGTTTCAAGACATGTGTATATACTCTCACGACATATTTCCTATACCAATAACATATATAGAGTTATCAAAGCTTTTGTGCTCCATGATTTAACAGGTACAATACTTCAGTACTTAGAAACTGTAACTATAAAATATACCTTTTAAAAAAACAAAAACTATATTGAATGTTTTTATGTTGGTATAATTTGGTAGGAAAAAAAAAAAAAACTAGAGCGGGAGAAACCATGGCCTGTGCGCAAGTGCCACTGGATGAGCAGCAGGTGACCGAGCCAGGCCCGCTGGGAAAAGAGCAAACACTGCCTGCACTGGTGAGTCATACAGGCATACACCCAAACAGCAGTCTGTGCTTCTCCAGCAATAATCTGACTTTTTATCAGAATCAAACCCTGTGCTTTCTGTTCATCATCAGCACCCTGCCAGGAAGGAGGAGCGCTGTTTTGTGCCTTACAAGTCCCCACCAGAAGATGGCTCTCCCGCTGAGGTGGAGGAGTTTTTGGAACGTGCCAAATTCATCACAGAGGACCTGGAGTGGCTGCTCGCACTGCCCCATGACAAGTTCTGGTGTCAGGTGAGGGACTGCTAACATGTAAATATCTATCTGAGCCACATCTCCCTTTCTATTCAGTAACCCACAAGGTGCGTGGCGGCTGTAAAAATTCATGTACATTGTTTATTAGGTTCAGTGAAAGCAGCTAGAATTTGTCTCTTTCCTTCTTGTAAATTCCCACTCCCTCCCTCCCTCCTCTGCTTTGGTGTGTCTCCTCCACCAGGTGGTGTTTGATGAGTCTCTGCAGCGATGCCTAGATTCATACCTGCATCTCGCTCCTCGCGGCCTCGACCTCTCCGCCCTGCCCTCCTCCCCAGCGGTGGCCGACATGCAACGCTCCGTCCACAGGACGGTCTTCTTGACCTTCCTCAGGATGGCCACACACAAAGAGTCCAAAGTAGGAGCTGTACCCACATATGCAGTCTAGGGAAGGATTAGTTATCTGCTAATCAGTAGAAATAGCAATTATAGTTTGATTTGTTAACTGTACTTGGGAGTGGCATTGACCATATTATCATATAAAGGCCTCTTGTCCTACTGTTTGACCTGTTGCCTTGTGTTTGCCTTGTGCTCCTATTCCACAGGATAACTTCATCACCCCGGCTGTGTTTGGAGAAATTATCTATGATAACTTCTTGTTCGATATTCCCAAAATTCTGGATCTATGTGTTCTCTTCGGAAAGGGCAACAGCCAGCTGCTGCATAAGATGATAGGTGAGTTGTTTAAGGTTCAGTTTAAATCATCGAGGGGTATATTGATGGGGTATATAGCCATTAGATTAAGATATGAAGTGAAGATTAGTTTTTAAATGTTTGTTACTCTTTGAAAAAAAATGTTTTTCTAGAGAACATCTTTACCCAGCAGCCATCTTACTACAGTGACCTGGATGAGACGGTGCCCACTGTGTTACAGGTAAGATATATGGTATATGGAAAGTTTATTTAAGTAAGTGAGTTGACACCTCAGCCACAAAAATAATACACTATTTAGAATAAATCTCTTTTTATGTGGGATTATTCTCACCCTCCTCATTCTCACCTTCTTTTACTCTTTGTCACTTTCAGGTGTTTGACACTATCCTGGATAAGTGTGGTCTGTACTGTGAAGGAGCCACAGCTATGGAGCCGATGAAGCTGAGCGCACACAAACAGCCCACTGCCATGACCATGAGCCAGCAGGTCAGACAAACACAAACATCAACTGTTTATCACTGCATGTGATACTAATGAACTAATAACAATGTCTAGTAAATATGTGTTGGCACAAGCACGTTCTCACATATAAACATAGTATTAGTATTTAACAGGCTGCATGGAAACATCTTGATTGCAGAGGACGACTTTCAGTTCAAGCCTCAGTGAATAAATCAGGCCCTCCTTAAAAACTAAGTTAATTAGCCTCATTAGGAATACATTTTTTAAATGTAAGAATTGCAAACTCCACCAAGACAACCTTGCAGGGAGCAGTACATTTTTAATGTCTAATATTCACTAAAATGGGCATTGATGGAAGTTGAACTGTGTGGACTGTTAAATATTCAGTTACTGGTTTACTAATCGTGACATGAAGGCTTAGTAACAATCAGTGTTTCATGTTAAAAGTTTTAACTGGAATAAGACCTTAACCAGGGTATGGCTGGTTGCGTACACAGAGAGCAATACTACTGCTTCATGTCATTAATAATATATGCGTGTTCTTCTCTGTCCTAGGAACTTGTAGACCTTATTCTGTACCTGTGTGACTCAACCACCACCATCCATGCCTTCCTGGACATTTTCCCTGCCGCCTGCTCCGGATTCCACTCCAACGGTTTCCTCAGCAGGTAAATGATGCAGTAAACTGGCAGTATAGGTTTTTTTTTTTTGTTTTTTTTTTATATATATATATACACACAAATATTTTTTATTTACAACAAGAAAGACACAGGAATGACAAATACAAATAGGAACGTAGGGTTGGATACAGGCTGACAATATATGGAATATTAAAATGGTCATGCATGGAGAAGCTGTGTGGAGTCAGGTCAAGCAAAAAAGTATTTGGGTCATTAATGTTATTTGTGATAAATACAATACAAAATAAATGGATGAATGATTAAACAAGTAAATAGAAATTAATGAGAGGGAGGACAGACAAATTGTAGTAAATCATTATGCAACAAAAGTATTCTTCACATAATAATACAAATTTTTATGGGTGTCTTTGTGTATGTATATGAATGTACATGAACATTATTTATATGAGTCTGTTGTAGCATTACCTTACCGGCAACTCAAGAGATAGTTTTTAATAGTTTTTTTTGTAGGACTGAGTTCGTTGTTACCAGTTTTGTTATAAGATTTAATCATAGTGGCAAGCTCTCTCCTGACAGACTGACCTCATTCTATGAGACCGCTGTGCCTGACCTTGAGAAGGCATTGAGGAAGAGAAACTTTGATGATAAAGGGTGAGTTTCTACTTCATTTAATACTTTTTAAAAAGGCCATAATGAAGTGCTGAACGAGATTGAGACCCACTTGCTGAATAAATGAATGACTGTGAATAATCCCACAAACCCAGCTTTAGTCTTCAGGAGGATTTGTGGAAGAGGTTGTCCCACTCCTGTCGCAAGATGGTGGAGACGGCTCACCTGCTACTGCATCATACCTGTTTACAGCCAATCCTGGAGGGGTGAGACACCCAAACTCTCAACATGAATCTTAGCACAATTAGCATTACCATACACATATGAATTTTGCCAATGTTTCTTGCCTTGCAGGGGAGAAAACATGCTGGCATTTGCAGAGGAGCTCCTTTCACATTTCACATCTTTTCTGACTGAGAAAAGGTAAAATGATGGTTAAGGTCAGAGGTCACCTCTAAAGCTCTGGGGGGGCTGGTGTTTCACTTTTATCTCTTCATGTACAATAAGAAAGTGTATGAACGGGTTTGCTGTTTTCTTTCTTTGTCCTTCCAGGTTCTTGACAGACTATGATGAGCAGTTCCCCATCGCAGACGATGTCAGCCTCCTACAACAGGCCCTCCCTGTCATGTATCCTTATCAGTCAAATTCAAGAAAAAGATGCATAAAAACTAGGGGCGTTGTTGTTTTCAATTGTGAATTGTGCTTCATGAAATGAAACATTACCACTACAATATATTTAGTATCTATCTATCTATCTATCTATCTATCTATCTATCTATCTATCTATCTATCTATCTAATTAATCAGCAACTATCCTGATTTTTTTTTTTCATTTTAAAGCAAAAATGCAAAATATTTGATGGTTTCAGTTTCTGAAAAATGAGAATGTTATGCTTTTGCTGGTCTTACATTAGAGATTATTGGGAAAGTTGGTTAGACAAAAGTTGGAGGACATGCCATGACCTCATCTTGAGCTCTGGAGTATTGCAGTGAGCCCTTTTCACTCTTTTCCTAATGTTTTTTATATTAAAGATCAATAGGCTTCAGTATTAGTTTATAGTAATGCCACACTTGTTCAGTCACTTCCTTAACCACCTACTTCCCTCAGTGATGAGACCCGGACTTCCTACCTGCTCCAGGGGGTGGAAAGTGCCTGGGACAGTGTTGGGCGACAGAAACCACAGATTCAGCACAAAGTCCCCTCAGCCGCAGCGGGGGGTGCTGCTGCTGCTTCAGCTGGCTTTGAACTTCAGGAGGCCCGAGAGCCAGGAGGAGGAGGAGAAGGAGAAGAGAGCCTGAGGGGAGCAGAGGCCATGTTGGATGTTCCCCGAATAGGAAACAATGTGAGCTCTCTAATTATTACTGCAATATGTTTTGTCTATAAAGTGAAAGAAAATGTTTAATTTCCCACTGCACAAGATGACGTCTTCAAATGTCTTGTATTGTATTTCCAACACTCCAAAAACCAAAAACATTCAGCTTACTATCATGTGTGATGGAGAAAAGCATCAGATCCTTCACATTTGAAAAGCTTTTGTTTTTATTTGATCATCAAAATAGTTGCAGGTTAATTTTGAGTTCATCTTGTAATTTGCTAATTGTTCCAGCTTTTTTTTTTTATATTTCATTATATTTTTATTGGGGTTTTTTAATTATAATAGTGGAATATTAATAACATGGATTTCATTGCAGCAGATACAGTATATTATCAAATGAACAGGCAAGTAAACAAAAACATAGTAATTTAAACGTGAATATAGAGTAGGTAGAATAATTAAAATGTATAGAAATCTTAAAGACCTTTGGCATTATTAATCACTACCAACATTTTGTTACAAGAACTCATTTTTCCATCCTGTTGTTAAAATTGACAATGTATTGTATGTATTTTATTATTTTGTGTGTGTGTGTGTGTGTGTGTGTGTGTGTGTGTCATCAGGGTGCGGTGTGTTCAGTGAGCGGGGCAGAGCTGGAGTCTTTGCTCTCATGTATCAAGGACCTGCTGCCTGATTTGGGTGAAGGCTTTCTGCTGGCCTGCCTGCAGGAGTACGACTTCAACTCTGAGCTGGTCATCAACAACATCCTGGAGGACCGCTTGGCCCCCAACCTGGACAAACTGGACCGAGCCATGCCAAGGTAACAGTGCACACTGGGATGGCCTTAATGTATAATGCCAAGCTGATATTTTGCCATGTGGCTCGTGCTGCTGAGATTCTCAAGTGGAAAGCGCTGCTCTATTGTTCAAAACAAGGTCAATTTTGTGAGTTGAGTATCAATTAATTTTTATTTATCTTGTGAGAAATCATCATAATGTACATTTCTAAACTTACAATAGTAAGACTTCATACAAACACTGCCAAAATGAGTTCTGAGAAGATTGTTTTGTGCATTATAAATAATTTATTTTGCAGAGTGACATTTTAAAATAGTTTAATAGTCTGATGAAAGATGTTATATAAAATAGAAAAAAGGAGCTTATCCTCTTATTTTAGAATGTTATTTCTTCTTTATAAATTGCTTAGTTGAGTGTTGTTGACTTATGTGTACAAATCCAGAATGTGTAGGGGTAGATGGACTGAAAATGTGGAATTTGCTGTGTTTGACCCCGTTCCTCTTCTGTCCTTTCAGGCCAGTGAAGGAGGATCTTCCAGATGTTCTGAATGTCAGATCCAACGTGTTTGATGATGACGAGTTTGACGTCTTCCGCAGGGACCAGGTGGACATGTCTCGTATCTGGAAGGGCAGGAGGTGAGCACACACAGGAGATGCTCTCTTAAAAAACAATTTAAAAGCCTTTGACTTCTTTTGATGTACCTATTTGAATAACAAAATGAGCCTTAAAGCAAAGCCAAACAGGATGTACAGATGACACTAACTCTTTTTGTTATACTTCCCTTACAAACTCAGCCTGTCTGAGGTCAAATATAACGTTGCCGTGTTTTCTTACTCTTGCAGGAAAGGTGAGGGCGCCCGAGAGATGCTGAACGACAAGCAGCACATAGCGGAGCAGAGAGCTCGTTATCAGGCCTACGAGACGGTGGTGGACGAGGTCATCATTGAACCCGGTGAGAGTGCAGCCACCTACGGCCTGGACGACTACGACGACGAGTACGACGACACCTACGACATGAACCAAGTGGGAGCTAATGACCTGGATGGAGACAGCTTACTGAACAGAAGGTAAATCACAAAGTTGCATTTTTGGTGTCAGTCTTTTTTGGTCACGACAGAGTGGAGGACACAGCGAAGCAGAATTAGAAAAACACATTTTACTTTTGACAGATGGCTTTCTAAGTTTTGAATATGTCTCAGTCAGTGTACTTTTTTCAGTTTCACTTTGTGTTTTCCTGCAGGCCTTTCACGGTCCCACAGGTACTGAGGAAAGCTAACAAACCAGAGGAGGACGAGGAGGGTGAAGATGAAGAGGAGGAAGATCCTATACCGGTAAAAATGGCAGATCCAACATCACAGAATTTTTTTTTTTTTTACCCATTTAGAAAAGTTTTGCTGTAAAACTTTAGTTTTATTTATTATTTTACCAGTGTTGCAGTGCAAATTCTGACCATATTATACACAATATTCTTTTAAGTGCAGAATAATTTTTTTTCTAATTTCTTAATTTCGTAATGTTTCTTGGCTTTAAAAAATTTTAACTACAATGTAATGTCACTACATCTGCATGTTGCTTTCTCATGTGACTTTCTAACCATTTCTTTGTATGTGAATTCATTTTATTTCAGAACAATGTAAACAGGGACCAGTTTGTGCAGGACCCAGCTCTGCTGAGGGAGAGGGCTGAGGCTAGAAGAGCTACCATGCAGCAAAGGAAAGGGTAAAGTCAATATTCACTTTGCTGTCACTCTGTCCAGCTGTTTCCATCCAAGAAGTTTCTTCATGAAAAAAAGATATTTCTTCCATTTAAAATGTACGACATAAATACAACTCTGTATCAAATGATGAAAGCTGAATGGAAATTGGAATGATCTGTCCGTTATACGGTGTGTGTGTATGTATGTGTGTACATACATAAGATAATTATTTCAGTGCTTCATGTTAATTTGTAAAGACAAACCTTTGACTTCTCTTCCTCCCCGTCCAGTTTCCGACCAGCGCCACGTCCCAGTAACGTGGTGGGCCAACCTAAAGGCCAAGGACAAACCACAGAGACATTCCTAGACAGACGCAAAAAGGAGGCAAACAAGAGCCGCGTGTCAAACCACAACCGCCGCTCCATGGCCGACCGCAAAAGGAACAAAGGCATGATCCCCTCCTGACCCGCGTGATCACGACCTGCTGCTGGAACCAAACAGACTGATGGTAGGAGGGAGGGACGGCAGGAAGGTGGCTGAGGTGTGGGTCAATGAAGGGAAAGAAAAACTGGGGATAGTTGTTATTCTGGGTTAAAGGTTGTGAATTTGGTGCCCACAATTTGTCCCCACAATCACACCGTAGCACCAAAGTTGCCGTCTTTGCTCAAAAAGAAAGCCAGGGTTTTTAGTTGTTGACTGATGAAGTTGAGAGGTTGCATTAGTTTACTCACTTTCTTTGGCATGGCCATATTTTGGCCCTTTGTGATCAGAAGCTGCCAAGCAGCTTGTTGTTTGAGACTCTGAACATCTACTTTTAGTGTTTGAGCCTGAAAGACATTCAGGTCTTTGGCCCAAATGATTTATTTTATAGCTCATTAGAAACCAAAGTCCTGAGTGTGAGCCAGAGACTGAGGACAAAGAATGAGACTTTATTTTTGCCAAGTAACAAATCAGTTTATTAAGATCCAGAGTGATCGATCTTTGACATCATCATCATCATGAACTAGACAGCATAGGAATAAAAGGAAGCAACATCCAGCGTTTTGGAGAGACTGCAGTTCGTTCTGTAGCTGGAAGAACAATTATTGACACGGTGAACAAGTCTGGACATCAGTGGCAGACTGTGTTGCTCTTAATACTCGTCCTGTATGAGTAGCTCGTGCGACGGCTGCTTGCATGTAATGTTTGAGTGCATGCATGTGATGACATCCACCGAGTTCACACCACTGTTGTCCAGCCTTCGTAAGAACATAACAAATAAGTCTAGAAAAAGAAATCGACACTATGACCATCTCATAATGATGCTGTTGTGTTTGTGTTTGGAAGCACGCGCTGTACAGAGAGGCCTCATGTCTCTCAGACGAGCTGCTGGGAGACCTCCGACATGTTGCCATGCACACACTATTTTCTATAAAGAGAACAGATCTATCGGAGCATTTTGTAACAAAAAAAGCACATGTAAATGCTTTTTGGAGTTGACATTGCAAAAAAACATAAAATAAATACAATAATACTATGTTTTTGACATCCTTTGAGCTTGAGTCATCACTGACAAAATGAAGATCAAGTGGATTTAACTTGGATTTCACAGTAGCTACAGCTGTACGTCTGAGGAATAAGAGGATGTGTTTTTCACATGGTATATGAGATGAACTTCTGTCAGAAAGCATTAGAGCAGAACTGATTTTGACTTCTTCAAACAGACCTACTAAAAGGATGGAAGCAGTTAAAAATGATCACAGAAGGAAGAAAGCGTCTACAAAATGTTGACCAACCTACCTGTTTAACATCTCTATCACTAATGATTTAAAACAATTCAGCTGCAACTAAATTAGCTACTTTAACATTCACAACTCAAGTTTTAAAGTACAATTCAGGAAGTGTGTTTGTGGTTTGAGTTTCTCTCACACTGCAGTTTAGTCATAAGGCATATTAAAGGACAAGTGCAAACATTTTTTTCCACGTCTGTACCGACTGTAGCACAGTTACTTCTGGACTACAACTACAGAACCTCTATGACTAACATTTAATAGCAAAGTATGAGTTTGGACACAAGATGAAATCAGTCACATTTAAATGGTCAGTTAGTCCACTCGGATGGGTAGGTCACTGACATCACTGGCACCTAAAGTCGATCCATACGTCCATGCTTAAAACCATAAAGCATTGAATGTCCATGCAAAAACGACTGACTCGCGAATACTCGCTCTTGTTATCCGTGTTTGCCCATTTAAAATCTGAACGTGTTTGTGTGAAGAGTCACATATTCACTGCTGTATATCACACATACAAACAAATATTTCCACAGTTGTACAGTAACATGATCCCAGGAAGAGGTACTGTCCACACACAACAGTACAGGTGCAGTACTTCATAGTATTGGGTTTAACACTACCACTGTATGTCTGTGAGACCTGCTGCACCCACCGGAAGGTCAGGCATCAAAATTGGACTGCTCCACAGTCCAGACGGCCAGCCAGCTGCTGTGAGAAGTTTGTATTTGCTCCCACAATCCATTGCTGGAAGGAGGAAGATTGAGGTCAGTTTAAAAAAAACGGCTACTGGAGTGTTGCCGAGGAAGAGATGAGACTGAATCCCAGAGCCGCTGCTTCTGCGGTCAGGTGACTGTTAGCTGTCTTTGCAGACGCTGCCTGGAGAGGGTTAGACAGGAGAGACAGACATTTAAATCTAAAGCTGATACGATAAATCGGCTACTAGATTTAGAAATTATATTTTTGATAATTGATTTCTATTATTATTATTATTTAAGTATTTTTATTGGAATCATACAAAGGCAGACAGCCAATCAACAATTTATTAAAATGCCAGATATTCCCTGGTTCCCTTCCTCTTAGTCCTCTATGATGTGAAATTAAATGTGTTTGGATCTTAAACTGGTCTGACAGTATCCAACATTACTATTTCAATTTCAAGGTATTCCCCTGGTTAAATAATTAATTAAGAAATAAAAAAGCAAAGGCAGAGGGTCATGTGAGGTTCAGGCTTTGATCAGCAAATTCTTTGTACAAATGAGTGTCTACTGCAGGGAAACTATTTTAACAGTTGATGTATAATTTAAAAAACTCCAACAGGATTGAAATTTTAATCTTTTCAGAAGCCACTCTTTTTCCTGCCGGGCAGCTTTAGCCATTAAACACAAAAATAAAAACTATTAAAACTAAAGCCGGTGGAAGTGTACTGTTGCATTCCCGTGCAATAGTGCCACTGTAATGAACATCACTCTCAAAAAAGGTCCAGTGTGTATCATTTAGTGATCTAAATGTTTATCTGTTGGCAGAAACTGAATATGATATAAATGTAGGATTTTATTAGTGTATGCATTGAATTGAACACCCCCTAAAAATCTTGTTTTTGCTGACCTCCGGTAGTGTGCAGTAGTGTACAGGTGTCCTCCAGGACACTGTGACATCCTTAGTGGGTGTTGTTACAGGTGCAAAAGAGCAATCTGACCACACCGCTCAGAAATGTTGGTGAAAACTGAACCAGAGAGCTGTGAAACACTCTCTAAAAACTTGCATGTGTGTGATGCTGTGATGTAAACTCACTGAGGATGCTGCGTTTGCAGAGGGGACAGGTGTGCTGCAGCAGCAACCAGGGGTCGACGCAATCTCTGTGATACTCATGAAGACACGGCAGCACTCGCAAACACTGGGGCAACCACACAACAACAGCTCATATTAAAGCACTATAGAATCTTGCACTTAGTCTATATACCTCTGTAACTTTAACATAAAATATATAGCCTAAATCAGGGAGTGTAGGAGTGTTGGCTGACCTGGTTGTTGTTGAACGGTTCTAGACAGACCGCACAGTTGTCCGTCTCTGCGGGCCACGGTTTGGGCTGACGATACATTTTGGTCTTCAGGGACGACATTCTCTTCAGGATGACCTGTTTAGGAAGCAGCTGAGGAATACAACACAGCATGATGTAAACATGTTATGCTGTTTTTGTTTGTTTTGTTTTCTCCTCACAGAAGATATGATCTGTTAAGATACATGCAACATTTATTTTGCTTATTTACTATTAAACTTTACTGCACTGAAACCAAAGAATAACCTATGATAACAGCAGTAAAGACATCTGAGTACCTCCAGGTTGTCATTGAGCTGGTGGTCCTGGTACTGCCAGCGAGCCTGAACGATGACTCCAGTGCTGAGGATCAGAGCCACCAGGAGGACGGTGTCCCACAGCTGCTGCAGGTACTTCTATGGACAAACAGAGACATTACTTTATTACATTATTAATACTCTCAATCAGTCTGTAACAGACGACAACTCACAAAATGGCTCCGGTAATAGAGAAGAGGAGAAAATGCAAATGAGCTGCTGATTATGCAGCAGACAGCAAATTGTATTTTTACAATGTGATATCTTTATTATTGTAATAGCAATTGTACTATAATAAAGTAAACACCATCAAATGACTAAAATCAAATAATAATGAATGTTTTGTATAGTTATAGCTCAAAGGGTTATTTTGAGAGGAGTGGGCTGCAGAGGTCTGGTAAGCTCACAGTTTATCAGACTTCATACAGTGTTGTTCACATAGGCAGTAGCACTCCTCAACACATGTAAAAACACTGATGTGTGAAATCAGTGGAAGTCTTACAGCAGGTTTAAGAAAACATGTTAACAGGGCTGATGGTGTGTTCGTTCTGCTCCCCCACCTGGACCTGAGAGTTGGTCTCTCCCGTGCAGATGACCCCCTGCCACTCTCCGTAGCGACCTCCTCTCGATCGACCGCAGCTGGACCACAGCGTGAGCGTGGCTCCCTGCCCGAACACACAGCAGCATGCGCTCACTGTCAGCTCAGCCTGTCATCTGTTCACTCACCACTGGAGGGTGCTAACAACTGAGAAAAACACTGTCAGCTGATACATTGAGGAGCTCACCAGGTTGTCCTGAAGAATCGTCTTGTATGTGATTTTTGCTGTGGCTTGAAGACCCCTGTAGAGAGAGAGAGAGAGAGCTGCCATTTAGTGCAAATAAAGATCCTCCGTCACTATGTTTACACACTAACCTGATTACTGTGAACCAGATTAAGGCAACAGTACGTTTACATGTTGTCTTTATTCGATAATGAGATTCATGAACCAAAGGGTTGTGTGATGGACTACAGGGAACATTTTGCCGGAAGTTGGTGGTGTTTATTCCAGAGTTGTTAACAGGGAAGCTTTTTTTTTTTTTCATCCTATGCAACAAACAGTATAAAATGAACAAGTTTATCATCTCATACAGGAAATATCAGATCAAAGAATAAAGAAACAAGACTAAGAATGTGTCTAAATAAAGCAGACCTTCAACTAAATAAAGCAGACCTCCAACAAAAAGTATTGAGGTTCAGTACACAGTTGGAACATGTTTAGATTTTGCTTTATGGTCATGTAGATTACTGATATGCAGGTCAAACCACTGCATTATTTCCGCTAACAGCCACAAACTGAGGAAGCATGTGACTCATCTGATTAATAAAACCGTATCCTGTTGCTTTTTATCAGTCTTATGAGGGAAAGGTTCATGTTCGCAGTATCTGTAATAAATACGGTGTTTTGTACCTGAGCAGAGCTCCAATCAGCTTGGTGACATTTTCAGACGTCTGGATCACAATGATGGGCTTGGACAGCACCTGAGACAGATCCATCTACAACAGCAAGAGGCAGATTTGTGATCGTAAACATGACCCAGACAAAGTGTCTCTTAAGCTTAAATTCTCAGCTTAGACCTCAGGTCCAGGAAATAGGGTCCAGGTTGGAGATTGAGTCTATGCAGATTTACCTCACTGACACTGTTTTGGTTGAGAGCCAGGATGATCAGCGCAGACGCTCCGAGGACCAAGGCTCGCTTCATCTTTAAAAGAGAGGATGCATGTTTAGTTTGCTCTATCAGTCCATAACAGTGTGAACAAAATCCACTACAGATTTAGAGTTAAGTTGAACCCCTTACTTTATTGACCATTGCATCAGCGAAGGACTCCTGGTTTCCCGTGGAGGCTTTGCTGTCGTCCATCTCCACAGGCACCACCCCGATCCATACCTCCTGCTCTTTGGCATTGTCCTCATCTTTTCCTCCGCTCTCCTGAGTCTCCTGATCCTGAACCTGAGGACAGAAAGCAGGCTGAACATCCCTGGGTGGAAATTCTGATACTGTCTTTAAACATAAACTGGCCATGCAACTGGCTGTGGGTGGGTGTTGACATGCACCTCAAAGTTTCCCCTGCAGATGCACTAGTGATGCTGCCTTGTTCATGGGCTCCTCGGCAGTGGTAGACTGAAAAATCACTGTATTTTATAAATGTATTATAGCTCACATTCCTGTTTACTTCCTACTGTAAATCAGGATTTTACTTTTTACTAAATATTTAAACTTCACCTAATCATTGTTAACAATGGTTATATCATGTTGGTTTCTGTGCTCTCTGGTAAATTTTACATTATTATTGAATTATATTCATTACTAAAAAAATATCTATTAAAGACAAGAATCGTTAGTTGCAGCACCGGTTCT